ATGGAAGTGGAACCATTAATGCTAATGAACTGAAAAGATTTGTTAGAGTAAGTTTAATTGGAATTAATTTAAAATAAGAAATTACTATTATTTTAGTTATGGGATAATGAATTAACTGAAGCTGAAGCTGATGATATGATTAGTCAAGCTGATCCAAATAAAGCAGGCTCAATTAATTTTAATGATTTTGTAGAATTTCTTTTACATAAATAACTAAGAATAATTATCTCGTTTATGTTATTTATATTGTACAGCACTGTTATGTATTATAGTAATATTTTTTCAAAAATTCATTGTAATTCTTGTTACTCTTTCCTTATGTAATAAAATATTTTTCAAGAATTTTTTTACTAAGGCATTATTTAATATAGACAAATCGAATATTTCATCATACTTACTCGAAATTCATAGTTGATTGTAATGAAATAAGACAAGCAACTTGAATAGATTGATTTCAATTTTTATATTGCTACTACAGATAAATATAATAGTTGAATAATGAACATGAGAATATTGATTATTTTTTCTATAGGCAATAAATTCGCTGAAGATTCAATACTCACTTTCTCAATCATAAACAATGTTGACTTTTTTTTTGAAGCAGACCCCGTGAAGCCTTTTGAAATATCTTAAAGCTTTAACAATAACAACGATTCCACTTATTAAAAAATACATTAAAATATAATCAATTTTTTAAATTTTTCTTATAAACTGTCTTTTATGTACAAGTGAACATTGAATAGATTCTCTATGTGTCAAATAATCTTCTAATTTAAAGTCCTCTTCATAAAAATATTTTAAATTACAAATTAATCGATTAGTTAAATTCAAATACATTGATTTATAATTTGCCTTTGTTCTTCCAATTCTAAAATAATTTTCACTATTCCAATGATTTGAGTCTAATTCAAGATGTAATAATAATTGTTGGATATCCTCTTTTTAAAGATGATCTTATAGGGTGTGAATCTTGTCTGCATCTTCACGCTACCGCACCCTATCAAAGGACTACTGTATTTAATGAAGCTATTTGTTACAAGAATCTTCTGCTTCATTAAATGAATTATGTACGTTTTACAGGAATTTTTTCATTTTTCTAGGTATTGGGATTCGTTATGGTATAGATATGTTAACAAGCGCAAAACGAGTAAAAAAAGAGAAATAGAAAAGTGTTTTGAATGTTATCATATTGTTTGAGTCAAATTGATCAAAACGTAACGGGTGAATGTTACATTTCATGCATCAGTAATTTCCAGACATGTAATTTAATTATGCTGATGATCTGATGGGGACAAAAATGTAGATGTTCAAAGGAAAACTTTCTGACGTAACTTTAACATAAGATGCAATGCTCAGTTTCTTCTATATAGTTGTCTTATGTCTCGTGATTCATGGAGTCGATTACATTTAATATAAAATTTAGCTCTTCAACTGTTGACATCGCTATGAATATTCAGTTTCATATGACGCATTCCTTTTATAGATAATATACGTGTATAAATTTTATCGGATAACAGTTTGAGTATAAAACGAATGGTATAGAAAAGGTCGAAACAAAAAAATGTCGAAACTAAAAACTAACCGAAAGATAAAAAATATCGAAAAAGTCGAGAATGATTTAAATAAACAATTTAGCATTGAGTTGTATCCTGCTGACAGCTAGAGTTACTTTATGATATTTTTCTGATTGTCCATTGTACATTCTAAAAAGGTCCTTCCCTCGGGTACACGGGGAGAACCTTTTAAGGCTCTGTGCAACACCTTAAAAGGCTTATTACTAAACTTCAAGGATTTGTACTTTCATGCAAAACCATTTAAGTTCCGTCAATTGGTGCGAAATTTTTTTAGAATTTTTTCGAAACCTTCAAAAAGTTTCTTCTCGTCTGCAAGGGGAAAACTCTTTTCAGATTTCGTACTCTTTGCTGAACCTTTTTAAGTTCGGTATGAAAGTTATTTCTTTTTACAGTGTATGACACGGCTATCTAGAGCGTTCGGATGTTGGCATTGCCGTTTAGAGCACCCACATCCTCCATATGATGGGGAATATGAATTTGCGGCAAAATCGAATTCATTAAAATCATCTCTATTTGTGACAAAACAAAAACTGTAGTGGTATAGCGGTATACGCAGTATACGCAGTATACGCAGTATACCGCTATACTACTATACTATACGATGGGGTACCTAGTGTGGGGTATCTAGTGTGGGTGTGGGGAAGGGGTACCTGGTGTGAGTGTGGAAATGGGTACCTTCTCCCCTGCCTCTATGTCTTTGTAAGGGATAGGTGACATCTAGCTACTGCTACATCGCTATACTGCTATAACACTATAACACTATAACACTATAGCGGTATAAGCATTTTGAATATGCCACAAAAGTTCAAATTCCCCATGAAGTCACATCCTCACCCGTACCCCGACGCTCACTTGTAACCACACTCTCACTCGCACCGTCACCCCTCATCCGCACTCATGCGCACATCCATACCCACACCTTCATTCTAATCTTCACCCACACTCATATAGGTCTAATTTTGAACGAGTTCTAGTTTTAAAGCGTCAATAAAGTTATTTACATTCGAATAATCCAAACTATCTTATTTTAACATTTTAGACTTTTTTTTTTCGACTAAACTATCATTCGACGTTTTTATCATTCGACATTTTGTTTCGATCTCTTTTTCGATCTTCTTATAGCATTCGATGTTTTCAACATTGGGCTTTTTTTTCGACCTTTTCTATACATACCTATAAAACTATCGCCAAATTACTTCATATTTGATTTAATTCAAAAAATAATTCGTTAATTTTATGAATCCTCATAGGAGTCTATTTTCTGTTTAAAGAAATCATAGTATCTAAAAGATACTATATACTGATCTCGCTATCGTAGAATGCGAATAGTTTGTGAAATCTTAACATATAACACTAGATTAGAGGTGTCGGTGTCGATTTCGATGTGGGTATTGAGCCATAGTTATCTCTACGCCTCACCCACACTCTGATTCTGCACTATATCATATAAATCAAGTATTTGTTGTAATTTATTACAATATAAATGCTATTATCTTTGTGCATCATTACGATATAATATAACAGCGTCAATTAATAATGTTTGATTTATTTCAATAAAAAATGATTTCAACTAAGATGTTCAAGTTGAAACTGTAGATCATAATAATTATATGCACAACGTGACTGGCTAATCATATTCTCAAGAACTTTTCGACTTGAATATGTATATATTTCTTTTTCCATAAAATCAGCATAATGTGGAGCTTTTAATTCATGTCTTTGTTCATTATTCACTAGATTAGCATCTGTTTTAAGATAATCAATAACAGTAGCTATATCGAATTTCTAAAATTCATGAGTTCGCGCAAAATCTTGTTTATTCATTATGCTATACTGTAAGACTTAACGATATCTGATGGATTAGCTGCAGCAGTTCTAACTTAAACCATCACAGCCTTGAAAATGAAAATAAATATTTGACTATCATCGTGATGTTGGCAGTGGTAGACTTTCAGTCGCGATGAACATCTATGGTGCGCTTTTCGTATGCGTACATCACGTTTGTGCGTATTGGCGCGCATGATGTTACTGTCAACGTGCGCCCACTAATGTGTACGTACTAACCGTATATATTATAGTAAGTGTTACGTTACGTGATTATGTTTTCAATAGAGAGATGGCTGAATAATAGAAATGGCACGTAACAAAGACAGTATATAGCACTGTACAAATTACTATGCATCTTATGTAAAGGAAACTGTAACTGTCTATTCTACATATATTTTGCCTCACCGTTTAAAATTGGTCATCCGTTGACACTTAACACGTCTAACGAAGACACATGATGCACCTTTATTTCAGCCATATGGTGTATCTCCGCTAGACATGCCAGGTGTCAACGGTTGACCAATTTTAAACGCTCAAGCAAAATGAATGCATAAGAGACAATGGAAGTGTCTTCCTAAATGGTCTTCATTTTTTAGAGTGAACTTGTACACGTGCTGTTTGAATACGTATATATTTATTGCTGAATTTTAACATTCACACGATGAAACAAGCAATAACTTCGTCTTTCTCTATTATCACAACCTCAATATTACTTATAATAGTGATGACGATGGCAATTACGATATTCAATTCAGAAGCAAACTACAATCAACGATGCGGTAGCTATCAAAAGTAATGACTGTAAGCCTACATAAGAATTCTTTTTCTGGAATCTTCATATATTAATTCTTTATTTAGATTACTTTAAGCTGACTAAAGTCAATGAAATGAAAGACAAAAATATAACAGTAACTTTATTTCATTATAAGCTG